TGTCTGTTGAAGACCATCCTCTTTCAACGAGGCTTATAAAGTGGAAATCTTTGCCCCAATCTGTATCCCTCTTGGATTTGAAATTGTTTTTATGTTGTTGTTTTTTAAATTGTTAAATCACTTCATGATTTAACAGATTACGAGTTTACCTCTCTTAACCACTACACCACACTGGCTCTATTAATTTGAATTAATTTGAAATTTCCTGGTTAGTTTGCCCGCTCATCTGAAGGAAGAAGCAAAGGAGCTGTGCATGTCACCAAAGGTCTCATTCATATATTATCTAATATTCATATATTATTTATTAAACTGAGATAATCTGGACTCACCCAGGACTCTTTCACGAGAGACTAGCGAAAGGGTAAGCACAAGTAAGGCTGCATTCCTAGGCTTGCATACTTGGGAGTATACGCCACAGAGCTCAGTGGGACTTCCTTCTGGGTTAACAAACATAGGATTATACCACAAGTCATATTTTTGCTTTGAAATGCAAAGAGGAACATCATACCTTCATCATGTGTGAGAGATGCATGGGATCCAGATGTGGATCAGCTCATGCATATCCCACAGTTTACACAATATATATTTTTTTTACCACTTTCAGAAATACGAAAGAACCTTCATCTTCAATTCTTCATTAGTAAATGAGGGAAATAATAGGGGTTCTACATTAGAGTGATTGTAGGGACATGTGAGATAAAGCCTTTAAGTACATTGTAGATTAACAGTGCTATAGTAATTGCTTCTATTGGTTACAATTACAGAATCATATTTTTTTAATCTTTAGCTGCAGATATTGTAAAAGCTATTTACACACAGAGAGAAACAGAGTGCTTGCAAAAGTGTGAAATATGGTAAAGCAGTTCATAGCTATATAATAAATCAGTGCAAGAAGGAAAATATCTCTGATAAAGACATGGGGCATGCCTGTTAATTCCCATAAGGTAGCACACACTCTGTTTGCAAGTTGAAGAGTCCTGCAGCGGAGCTTAGAATGAAGAGGTCATTAAGGAATCTTCCATGGAAAGAAGTAGATATTCTACATTACTTTAAATTGTATGAGTTTGAGATCAGCCTATAGCTAGGGATTGAGAAGACTTAAATATAAAGGTAAGGACATTGGAGCTTGATAGGTGGAGTGCTGTGGAAATTGTACAGAGTTTTGGAAAGAAGTGATAAGATGGTGCTGGTAGGATTTTAGCAGACGCTGTCCAGATTCAATGAATGGCACTGAACTATAATGTAAGTGTTTTCTGTGTGCTGGAGAACTGAATGAATTATCTGTGTTAGCTAATTCACTTAATCAGATTGATGTGTTGTGGGCTTTGGGTTGAAATGGTCTTTGCCATGTGCAAAACGTTCACTGAAACAGTAATTATTGTTTCAGAAGGTGCCCAGCTTACAACTCAGCCTTCATGCACCACACAAAGGGGCTGAAAGTGAGTCAAGCAATAGCACAATATGGGAATAATAATAATAATAATAATAATAATAATAATAATAATAATTTATTTATACCCCGTCCATCTGGCTGAGTTTTCCCCAGCCACTCTGGACGGCTCCCAATCAAGTGTTAAAAACAATACAGCATTAAATATTAAAAGCTTCCCTGAACAGGGCTGCGTTCAGATGTATTTTAAAGATAGGATAGCTGCTTATTTCCTTCACATCTGAAGGGAGGGTGTTCCACAGGGTGGGTGCCACTACCGAGAAGGCCCTCTGTCTGGTTCCCTGTAACCTCACTTCTCGTAATGAGGGAACTGCCAGAAGACCCTCGGCGCTGGATCTCAGTGTCCAGGCTGAACGATGGGGGTGGAAACGCTCCTTCAGGTGACTGAGTGCTTGTCAAATTCATTAAAAAAACCTGCTTCATTCAGTGCTGACTGCTGCATGCACCTACGCCATCCACATTCACAACCCACTAAGTTTAATCGGGAGAACTGCTCCAAACAGTTGCTGTGTAGGATGTGGGAACTGCTTTGGTTTCAAGTTCCTGCAGGGGCAAAGATGTATGCATTTTGGGTTCCCAGTATACATCAGTAAACATCTTTTATCCTTTCAGTTGCACCCTATAGTTAGCCCTCTTTTATATAACTGCTCTTTATAATTCTCTACCTATGTTGAGCTACTCCAGCCTGAGTCACAGTGTGGACGGGGAATGGGACATTGCAGGAGCAGGGATTGTTAAGACCGAAACTTTGGCTCCTCGCAGACTGTTTCCTGGTGTGTAATAGCTAACTGAATGTACAAAGCACACCCAAATTTTCATTCTGGAATTGATGCTTATCTTATATCACATTCCTGACCAGGAGGTCAGCATTGGGCTCATAAATGTGAAAAAGCAAGAGTTGAAAAGGGAAAAAAAATGCAGGCACAGAAAATCTTTTTTCTGATGCTTTAAAGTTCAAAGCCTGCATTCACAACATAGCAGTACCTTGCTGCCTAATGAGACTCTTAGGAAATAAAAGAGATTTTATGTTAACTATGGCCAGTAACCAAATAAGGGCACAAAAGTGCATTACTTGTGTGCGGCAGGATCTTTGCTGAGCTGAGAAGCTGCTCTTTTCAAAAGTGGGGATATCCCTTTGGTGATGAAAGTTACTGCAGTGGAAATGGAAAGCTGCAACTGAAGTTCAGTGCGCGGTTCTCTCCTGTACGTTTATGTCCTGACCTACGTACTACAGACTTTGTGTACTTGAAAGAGAACCATGACAGTGGTGACTTTGCCTTAGTATAAGGCGTTTCTGTTCTTTCAAGCCAGGACACCCATTCATCATCCATTCATTCATTCATTCATTCATTCATTCATTTATTTATTTATTTTTTACCAATCTCTCCTATCCATGAAAAGCCTCCCCTCCCTCAGCTGCTTCAGAGGTCTGGAGGGTGAGGATCCTGCTGATCAGAGTTGGAAATGGTTTTAGGCATTCCTGCATGGGGGGGGGCGGGGAATGGGCAAAAATTCTGTGCCCTGACTTGTGCAAGCAGAAGCATTTTCCCCTAAGAGTCACCGCTGAATAAAAGCCCATCACTTTTCACAAACAGCAGATGTGGAGGAACACCTGTTTCTAGGTGACATCATGCGTACCTGCAGGCTGAAACACACACAATGAAGTATTCCTCTGTCGAAACCAAAGCAAAATGCTAAAATCCTGTACATAGATAACCCAGTGTTGGGGCCAACCCTTTGCCTGACATGCTGGTTTTCTCTGTACAAAGCTGTTGAGTAGTTGTTTTTGTATAAAGGAGCATATAATCTATCTGATCTTCACCCTTTACATTCCTCCTCACAACATAATAAGAACAGAATTCATTATGATGTAATTGCAGTCCATAGAACTACAATCTATGAAACACTAAAATATCTTCTTTTTTTATTATACCAGCAACAACTGAAACAGGATCAGCAGGGCATAAAATGAGGCAGCTAAAAAATGGAAAAGTTAAAAAAGCAGCAGCAGTTAAATATGAAGCACTAAAATGCTAATTAAAAGCTGCTTGGATATATAAGAATGAATGTTTAATTATTAAGATACAAAAATACAACCTCAATAATAAAGTTAGAAATTAATAACAAGGAAGTCACACACAAGTGGAGGGAAGACACATGGCAAGAAATAAGAAATCGATAATTTTTGGTACATAATGAAATGTGAAAATGTGAATTTACAAATTAATGTATATGTATTATTATGTAAAGATTTCATATATGTATTGCAACATTAATAAAAAATAAAATAAAAGCTGCTTGGAATAGAAAAGTCTTCAGTGCCTTTAAGGCTGACAGTATACTGGTCACACATGCCTTCTTAAGAAGAAAGTTCATGAACATGGAGCTACCACCCAAAAGGCCTTGCTTATGATTCCTTCCCCTTTAATATTTCTCATGAGCAGAGCCTCAGAGGCTGTTCTTAAGGATTGGTCAGGTTTATGCAGAGGTAGGCACTCCTTACCATAACTAGGTCCCAAGCTTAAAAGGGCGGCCACCAGCACCTATGACACAAAGCTCTGCGGATGTTAAACATCTGTTGTTGTTTTAGGAACTCTGTCCCCAGAGATAGTGTTCACATATTGTAGTCAATTAAAAGAATGAAAAAAGTTCCCAACCTCTCTTCCACATCTCTATATAAAATCTCTGGTGTGCTATCAGGGATTTGCCAGAGAACAGACTATGTTGTTGTCCTTGAAATGGGAAAGGATCTGTGTGAATTTCAATGTGTAGCATTTCTTAGCACTAAAGAATATGGACTAGGCTAGGTCATGTTTATTCAGAACTCCATGATCTATGTAGGGCTTTGGATTGCAGCTGTACCTCTTAAAATCTCAATAAACAACGGGAGCCATAGGTAGAGCGTTTAGTCATCTGGAAGTATGTCCTCTGTGCTCATCACTGCTCTCCATCTCCTGTGACTTTTCATAACTCTTGTGAGCCAGTGTGGTGTAGTGGTTAGAGTATTGGCTGGAATCAGTGCCCTCACTTTGCCACAAAACCCACTGGGCAACCTGGGCTCACAGGGTGATCCACCCCACAGGGTTGTGAAGATAAAATGCAGATGGGGAAAATCATGTATGCCTCCTTGAGGTGCTTGAAAGAAAGTGTGACATAGATCAATAAAAAGTAACTAAATAAATACCTCAATTTCTGTTCTGTTCTTTCAGTTCAGAAAACCACAGATGTCGGCACTTAGAATGAATTTGACTAGATAATTACATCCATGCAGAATTGCTAATTTTGTATCATTTGGGTTTTTGTTCCTGCTGTATTTGGAGTTTTGTGACGCTTCCACCACAGTGTTATGTCTGCCTTGCTGACATAGTGATGTGGGTTATTCCGCTATGGGTTTCTGAGCATCTGACTACTTTTCAGGGGTACCACAGCCATTGTGGTCAGTTAGAGTAGAAAAACAATGAATTATCTGAAGGGTTAAAATGCATCATCTTTGTGAGCCCATGATGAGGGTTGGTGTCAGCTACTTAAAACACTTTTGAAATTCTCTTAGGTCCGAAATCAGCATTGGAGTCTTATAATGGAGAGCGTGGTCCCATCGGACAAAGGAAATTATACCTGTATTGTGGAGAATATTCATGGATCCATCAACCACACATACCACCTTGATGTTGTTGGTGAGTAAACTCTCAGTGGCTAAATGTTTTTTCTTTCTTTCTTTAAGTGATGACTTAGATTTATTTTCCTCCTAATTATCTTTTTTTAAAAAAGGTGAAAATAACTAAACGTAAAACTTAAAATGGACTTAGAATGGAGCGTACATGAAGCAGAATAGGCCATACCATGAAGCAGTGACCATTAGTTGCTTCAGATCAGGCCCTGTTTTTCTGTTAGTTTGAATTCCTGTTTTTATATTCTTTTCTGTTACTGTTGTGTTTTTGTTTTAATGATCATTATTGTTCCTGCTTAGAGATTTTAAAATACTAAATTGTTTATAAGTGCTTTTAAGTACAGTAAATTAACAAATGGAATGATGGGTTTTTTAAATTTAAAAATTTAAAAAGGTCCTTGACATAATTCAGGGTTAATCTTAATCACTTTGATAGGTTTAATTTGTGGTGTGTGGCCTGATTCTTTAAGACCCAAAGAAACTTAGGAAACTTGGAGAACTATATATATCTCTCTTCCCCCTCCCCACAGCAAAATCTCCTTATTCAGCTGAGGTGAACTAACCTGGAGACTAAACCATTTTTTTTGTTTGAACACTTGTTTAAACAATGTTTATTGAAGGTGCAGCTCCAACGGCTGCCAGGAATGGTAGTAAATTGCGTTCCACATGACTCCATCCTGTACAGACCAGCTGCTGAAAGGGTGCAGCTGAATTATGTTCCCTCACCAGGGAGTGGGTGTGTCCACAATATCTAGCAAAGGAGGAAACCAAGGGAATATATACACTTCTCTCCTAAGAGTATTTTCTCCTTTCCTGGACAGTACTTCAAAGAATTGTGTTGCATAAAAGAAGTAGGGGAGTCTAGAAGGAAAAAACTTCTTTTAAAATACCAGGAATGAAACTTTCTGAAAAGGACACTGTCTTGAAATCCCCACAGTGTGTGCAGTTTTACTTTTTTGGGAAATTTTCTTTTGTTTTCTGAAAGTTAGGCAAATATTTATCAGAAGCCCCTAGCCTCTTCTTCCTCTTTAAGCTTTTCAATGCCTTACATTCAAGAATATTCTGCAGTTTATTTTTCCTGGCAGAAAATATTGGTGACTTGCATGAATGAATGGAATGGTAATGAGAGTTATGTCATTTATTGCTATGTCTGCTACTTTCATAGAGAGAATCATAAAAGTAAACAGTAAGGCCAAGATTTTCCATCGTGATTAGGGGTTTCTGAATGTGCTCAGTTGCCATCATGGGGTCTCGTTTCTTCTTCAGAGGGTCTAGAAATGCACTTTTTCTGAAAGTATGTACCTCCCTTTCTTAAAGGAAATCTATAGTATTTACAAACCCATTTTGGAAAATGTAGTGTTTGTCTGTTAATTCTCTTTATATTTATTTGGCAATGGCATGTTAGAATTTGGTTACATTTTGAAACGTTTGGTGCTGTTTTCAGTACTTGTTGGTCTCAGCTGCAACCATGGTAAGCTTTGTTTCACCGGGTTTGGGAAATGATCCAGAATTTGAAATTTAGCGGAGAGTAAGAGGAAACAGCACTGGTAATGATGGGAAAGGAACCCCGGGTTTCTTTATCCTTTGGTTTCTAACCTGCAGAAGTAAGAGGATTTTTCTGAGCTCAACACATTTAGGACTGTCCTATTTAGGGCTGGCATCAGTACCTAGCATCTTTGGGAAGCTGCCTGGGCCTTCCTTTAAATGCCCCTTCCCCACCACCCAAGTTCAGTGCTCTTGCAGTTCTGGTTGGCTGGGTCTAGCCACCATTTTGTTTTCTCACAATACGCCATAGTGATGCTGTATCAGAAGCATTGTGAGAAATAAAAATGGTAGCTAGATTCAGGTGCCCAGTGCTGAAGTGTTAGACTCCACAGGGGACTCTTCCACTTGACTGTTTGGGTTTCACTTTCTCCCACAGAGGTGGTTCTTTGGTCACTATTCATATTCCATTCATCTGTCAGAGCCAGAAAGGTACACTGTGAAGATTCTTGCCCCTTTAGTTAGGTGATTGCTGTAGCATAGAGTTGAATTATGTGGTAATGCAGAATATAATTTAGAAACCTGCAGTAGCTATTTCCCTTGAATTCCCTAGTGTGTGGGTCTCTTCCTTCCCAAGATAAATAATATAGGTGAATAATATTTTTAAAAGTTTCCTTCTGTTACCCCAACACTGTATTCTTCATACTTCCCATTGCTAAACACAGCTCCGAATGGAACTGATTTGGTGCTACATTCGTTAACCAAACAGAGCAATCACATACTTAGATGGTGGTTAGATGACAGATCCAGGAAAAAGTGTGTAGAACTCTGCAGAGCAAATGTCCCTTCATATTTAATACACAACTGACCACAGTCGGTTGCCCTGTGGTGAACCCATTTTGCTAAAACACATTGGCCCTCAATTAAATTTGAAACAATTGAGTAAATTGTGGAATAGTAACCAGATTTAAATTGGGCAGTATAAAATGAATTTCTCTTTGCTTGTTTTAGTTGTTTGCCCTTCTACATAAACTTATCTGTTGGGATTTATGTTTACTATTATTATTACTATTACTATTATTTTTACTATTTTCTTCACTGATGAGAGATTAACAGATTTTGAGTCAGGATTCTAGTTTGATGTGAAGCTCATATTAATGATCATTTTACCACACATCTTACCATAGATTTGCACATTATGTGTAGTAAAATCTTCCTTAATACTTGGCTAGGATAATGCAGAGGACCAATCTTTTATAGAGCTGGAGAGTAATTTACCCAATGGTAATTTGACCAGGGAGGAGGAGAAGGAAAGAGTAGCAGAGGCAAATTATGAAGCATGTCTCTTACTGCTCCAGCCCTGGTGAAGCTGATGCCTAACATGAAATACATAGAGAAGATGAATTGGGTGTAGGAAAGAGAAGTAGAAGTAATCAGGAAAGTTAATTAAATCTTCAAAAAAAAAAAAAATGTTCATGAATAATCCAGTTACAGTGTGTGGATTTGTGATAAAAGTTCAGAGCATTAACCCAGAAATCTAAACTCTTTCCCCTTTATTACTCTTTCATCTCTTCTTGTACTTGCTCTTTTTATGTTCCAGGGATGAAGAGGAGGAAAAGCAGTATTAATAGTTGAGCTTCATGTGATACACAGGCATAGATTAGTGTAGGGAAGGAAGCCTCTCAGACATTATTCGTTCCTTGTGCTTTCAGCTAAGCTAACCTGTGGGCTCCCTTCTTTTCTCTCTCTTTTCCATGGGTTCAGCTGATTTCAGAGCAGACCTGTTTGATATTAATGGTAATGAATAGTGTTAAAACATGGCAGTACGTTATACTAATGTGTCTGTGTGACACGTTGTAGTGTAACCTCTTATTACCTCACAGATTTTGGAGTTTTCTCAGCAAGCCTGTTGCCAAATGGTGACACAATGCTAAATTGGGAATAGCCATTATTAACTTGCCTGTAATAACTTTTGAAAGCCTGAATCTTTTGCCGTTCATGCACTAATAGCTAGCAGAATGTGAAGGGTTTCATTTGAAGTGCATATGCTAAATATTCTCAGCTGTTAGCTCAGATTTGTGAATGTAGGAAGTACATCACCATCTGATATTTTGCTGCAAATGTGAGAAGAACATTCGGCTGTAAGCAGAATTTTCTTAGTAGTCCAGTTAGCTTCTGGCTGCGCAGTAGAACTTGTCTGGAGACTCGGAAGTAAAACAGACACTGCCTTAGGTGGACATTTTGATGATTGGTAATGTTCTCTACTTTTCGTGTTTCTTGTACTGAAATTATGACTTTGATTATTTGCAACAGAATGCTGTGTGCTTGTGTATGTGTCTGGTTTCCACACTGAGGAGCCAGAAAAGCTATAGAAGGGTGAAGTGATCCAAACTGGAAATAAGCCCATTCCTTCCCTGGCATCCTGATAGCGCACTCTTACCTTGCTCATGTTATGCGCTTGGCATGACCCTGTAGAGCGGCAACTGCTGCAAACCCTAGATAGGAACATTGTTGATAGCAGAGAAAATGGAATAGAATTTGGGTACTAATCGGAAAGGCAGCCATACAGTTTGGGGGCTGCAGATTACAGGAAAAGGCAGAGAACATTTTATTCTATTTTTTTAGAGGATAGAAATGTAAGATCCTTCTAGCTCAGCATCTTGGCTTCAGTGTTACATATACGGCTTTGATGAAATCAGCAATTAAATAAGCTGCAAGTATTTTTCACTCTTGAGTTGTAAGTTACTGAAGGCTACCACATGCATTAAGGGTTTCTGCCTTGGCTATTTTAGCAATAGATGCTGAGCTCTACTGAAAATGACTGGCTCTGTCTAAACTCAGTAACTCTGTTGCCCATCATGTTCTTTTCAGTTCAACAGCATAATGTTGTGTAAAAAAACAAAACCTGGTCTGTTTAAAGTCTCTCTTGATCTTAATATGTCAGATAGCTACAGTTCTGGTGCTGTGAAAAAGGACAAACAACTGTTCCCTATTTACTTTTGCCAGTTCATTACATGTTTTATGTATCTGTTGTTCAGCAAATGTCCTTGGCGTTGTCCCGTTTTCAAGATGGGGCTCTTGCTTAGTAGCTACGACATGCCAGTGTTTACATTTCGGCTTGTATAGTCTCTATTGAAGGAGAGAAGATGACATGTTTTTAAAGCATCTATAATACAGTTTGCCACTTCTGTTTTTCTCTGAGTACATCTTCATTCCCCATATAAATTGGCAACTTGGCCAGTAATGACTTGCCTACTCCGCATTCATGTAAGCCTCTCCCAACCCCTTTTATTTTAATTAGAATTTCAGGAATTTCAATATTGGTCAATTTTTTAAATGATCATATTCCAGGTATAAGATTATTGCCTTAATGCATATCCTTAAAACAGGGCCATAGTGGGTGTAATGTAGTTGGGAACCTAAAAGGGTGAGCAGGCGCTGAGTAATATGTGTCTGTATTTTATGATTATGGCAATAAAAACATGAGTCTTAGCCTGTGGAAGTAATCCTTTCCCCACAAGAATT